ATGTTATGAGCTTCATGAATTATTCAGCAGTTCTGGACATCTGTTCTTCAGCATGCCTTTAATTTTAGTGTTCTCAAAACCCAGAAACCTACTGCAGCCACCATAGATAGCCTCCACACATTGGCAGAGACATAGGAACGATCCTTCCCAGCACATTAAAAAATCTCATCAGGCTCTTTTCATAAGTATGACATGGTTCTAAATGCCTAATAATTGACACGAATACGAGATTCCATTTAAAATGAAACTTTCCTCAATATTTATTTATTTTTTCTGAAAAGTTTACAAATTAGACCTGAAGTATTATTGCAACAAAGGTGAATCTAAAAATTCATTTTTTTTTTGTCAGAGATGACTTCTTTTTGTTCACATTTTCACACTTCAGGAAGTTTACTTTCTGGTGCGGTTCAGCTCTCATACTTTTCATACTCTCATACTTTGAAAGACTTGGGTCATGATTATTAATTGATTTTTTTTTTTTAATCCTTTTTTAAATATGATTATGTCCCAAAGTGACAATTAATTTTGTCCATTCTAGGGAGGGGCAATGATTTATGATTTTGGATGCATCAATATTAAAATTCTGGCTGATAAAGATAAGCTGTTATTTTTATGTATTAAAAATGAAATCCAAACATTAAAAATACAATTAAATATTGGCTGGTAAGTGATGAAGCTAAAATGGAAAATTATGTAATGTCGGCAACAGCCCACATATCATGCATCCTTAGTATGTACACACGTACATATATAAATACATATACACACATACATATATATATTAGGAACACGTGTATATATAGTGAAAAATATACATACAAGTGTAAAAATACATGTCTAATATATGATTTGTTTTTTTTATTTTCTTATGTCTTCTTGCATCTTGCATTGACTTTTTATGGCAGCACATAATCAAGGATTCATATCATACCAGAAACATGTGCATCTGCAAATAAATATGCATGATCATGCATGCAAAATAAATTTGTGCATAAATAAACAGTCATGGGATTCTGCAAAACTTCAACATGGCCTTGAATGGCGTTGAAGTTTAAGCTAATGGGCATAGCCCAGAAAAATTACAGAGCCTGGACAAGCATCTGCCATAGGGCCCTTGGCCTTCATCCAGGCATGAACAGAACTTGAGAAGGGGCTCATCAGGCTGTAGACCTTGGGAACAGGGCCACTTGTGAGAGAAGCGGAAGAGATGGTTTATTTGGATGGGCCTCCTTATTAGTTGTCATTCTCTTCAAAGGTTCCTCTGGCCTTTTTTTTTCTAGCTAAGATTGAAGTGGCCCATGAAGAAGTAGGAAGCTAAAACCTGTGTTATTGGCCTGAAATCTTGATGTGGGTTGAAACTGCAGATGTGGGGGGGGTTTTTTATCAAGAGATTAGTGCCACAACACACACTCAAAGGTTAAGGCACACTTCCGACTTTGAGGTGCTGTGTTACTAATTGAAATGTTTGATCTATGGACATCTGAGAAGAAAAGGCTGTGCTCTATATCTTTCTTTTCGAAGCGTGACTGTTCCATTCTGAATGCCACTGGAGAACAAGACGTCCTGAGTATGACGGGTTATAGCTTGCACACCAGCCAGGATGAAGGATGATGGCATTTTATAAACTAGGGTGTTCTGGGTGTTTGCTGGTCAAAAAAAGCCCACTCCCTAAAATCTATGATGATCTTGTCCCAAATTATGGTTTGGATTACTCGTTCAATGTGAGTCTGCTGGATTTGTTTGCCTGTTGTATCGTCTGTGAGTTCATTTCTTTAGAAAAGTAATAGCACATCTCTCAGGAACAACCCGTATGATTTGAGATTTCATTTACAGTGCAGGATGAGCTACATGGTGCATTTTAATACTTAACAATTTTTCTGAAGGTGGGGTATTTATGAACCGAGTATATTTTTATGCAGTTCTGCACACAGATGAATAATGAAATTGTTAGAGCTTTTTATTTAATGCTGTTTTTTTACAAATGAAGTGTCAGTGTTTGTCTTGTGCACCAAATGATGGTACTGCATTTGTGGATATCTGAATTTGCATAGTGCTTCATTTTCAGAGCTGCTAATCAGAAAGCTACTGGTTTGATCCCTGCAAGGAGCTTGCAGACCTGTAACAGTGTGAAATATTATTAGTTTTAAATCTGGTTTCTATTTGAATATATTTTAAAATGTAATTTGTTCCTGTGATGCCAAAGCTACATTTTCAGCAGCCATTACTCCAGTGTCACATGGTCCTTCAGAAATTAATCTAATAGGCTGATTTAATGAAACACTTCTTATTACTTCTTCTTGTACTTATTAATATTTTAGTAGAAACTGATACTTTGTTCAGTGTTGTTTGATGAATATAAAGTTCAGCATTTATTTGAATTGGAATTTTTTTGAAACAATGTAAAATAATTTTCTGTCTTTACTGTCACTTTTGATAAATTTAATGTGACCTTACTAAATAAAACTAATAATTTCTTTAAAAAGAAACACCCACACTGGCTTGAACGTTTGAACAGTAATATAGGTGAAATTGTAAGAATCTGATCTTTGCGGATGTAAGTGATTCAAATAAAATACCGTCTTTTAATGAAAATATCTGACCGATCTACTGTTTACCACAAATATGCAGGGAAAAACTTCAAATAATTATATATTTAGTGCAAGATTTTCTTAATTGATGGCTAATTTTGGACCCTGCCTATATCACATGGATTCATGGAAACAATTCTTTCATATTGTCAGGTTGCCTTTCGCTTTTTTTTATACCTAGCTTAGCACTTAAAGTTTATGTGATTTCTGAGGCTTTTTAATTCCTGATCCTATCTGTTCTCCAATTTCAAGCTGTGAGTTTTCTGATAATATACAGTGCATTAATCACACAAACACACATCCAGATGTCTCACCCCCCACCCACCCCCCCTTGCTTTACCACACAGCGTGTGGTCTGGGGGCTCTCTGCCGCTGAACATGACATTCCAGTCAGAGCTGTAACAAATAGGGCTATTATTTAGCTATCAATTCTCTGGAGCTGATGTCAGCTCATTTCAGGATCTTGTGCCATCAGTTTGGGTGAGAGACAGGTACTCGTTGATCATGTCAGGATGTCTTACATGGTGCATGATCACTAATGTAGAAATGACCAATGTGATGCAGAAGCTGTCCTTACTATCTTATGTCTTATTTGTTTTGTTATGTCTCCTCACTGATTCTTAAGAGACTGGACAAAACATGGCCCACACTGTAAAAAAAAAAACTGTGACATTTACGGTAAAATACCGGCAGCTGTGGTTGCCAGAACTTCACCGTTAAAAAGTAGCAACAT